AACAAATTAATTTATTACACGCTACACGCGCCCGATGGTTGCTAAGGACAGCTCACGTGATGTTCTAAGCAATCAACGCTGTTTGCGTTAATCGAGCCGGTTCAAATTAAGATTGAGATCTCGGTGAGTGTGTGTGTGTGTTCACACGTGTGTTCCACGTGATGGAAAACAGCGTTAATAGCTTCGAGTACCACAGGGAACGTGTTGAACCATCATCAGGAATGTGCAGTGTGGAATGAGTTAATTTGTATTTTAATGAGGAGTAAATTGGTAAACGTGGAAAGATTCAGCGTGGTGGGTCGCGACGACTCAAGTTTCGGAAACCTAAGTGGTGGCATTTCAGTGTTCTAACCTCCGAACCACCCTGCCACCTCTAGGTAATTCATATTAATACAACTTAACCAGCGAACCTGTGCCATGAGGTGATTGGTGGGAATATTTTTAGCTCAGAAATGGAACATCCGCATTTGTGCAATATATTGTGTGCTCAGTTGATCGTCTCACTATTTTACAAAGGAAGAAAATTACAGATATTGTCTCAGTCTTGCAAGGTGTTTGTGCATCAATAAATAATTATTCAGCAAACACAAGCAAGTGGTTTTTGTCGGGATGTCTCTTGGTCGGTGCTCATGGCACATACCATGGTATAATCGCAGGTGGTATAATGATGATAAGGAATGTATGTTGAACCACGCTAATCGGAGGCGCGGGGGAAGGACAATACACTAAACATAAAAAGTTGTTATAAAGAAGTGAGTTTTTAAAAATGTAGATTTAAAAGTGCATAGCTCCAGTGGCTTCCTAATATCGGAAGGAAGAGCGTTCCAGACGGCCGCAGAAGCGCATCTGAAAGTGTACTATGCAGTGGCCGTTTTTGTTATCCTTCATATCCTTTGTACCTAACATTACATAATACTAAATACCAAAGAGCAACACATCGAAGAAATAAGAAATGCTAAATAATGTTTTATATTTTTACGGTTTTTTTTACACCAAGCCCGCTGAATATGAGGACTATTTGGTCTGATATAGTGTCCACAATATTTGCTCAGTCACAGTGATGAAAATAGATTATTTTTTATGTTTTGAATGTTGTGCAAAAACGTTATTGTTCTCAAATGATATATTCGATTGTTTCCACGACATACTCTCATGCATACATCACAGAATAAAGTGGGTTTATAAATCCTGAAGCTTGACCACAGTCAAATTAGAAATACTAATGATGCATTCAGGGGCAATAAATTCACTTTTAATTGAAAAAGAGAGAGGAACACATTTTCATACAATGTTCAGATGCAACACATCTAGGTCAAGGACATTAGCTCTCATTGAATCCATACATTCAGTAATCCATTGTCCTTACTAATTATTCATGGATACTTATTAATGTCAATCCATTTTCAGTATAGATGATGATTCTACGTTTTGGGTACGGTACAGGGATACGGGGATAAATTGCATCTGTATTTTGAGCTGAGAGGACTCAAAAATAAACTAATATAAACCAGTAAATTGCATGCAAAGGCACACGTGATCAATCTTTACCAACAAAGATTCATATATATCCGCTCTCTCAGAAACAAAGATATAACCTTATTTTAATGGTATATTTTTGGAGACAGGGTTATGGACATGGGGCGATCCATATATTGCATGTGTGCATAAGTAATAACTTAACGTTGCAGCATCAGAAATAATACAAATGTCGAATTCGTAAAATGCTCATGCATTGTGTTGCATTTGAGACTGCGATAGCTAGATGCAATGGTCTAGAAAACACTCTGCCTCAAACCTACATAGGCAGACATGTCTTGCCTGTGGAGGATGCATGTGCACTGGCTTCGGCGTGTCATCCAGAATGGTTTACACCGCTGAATATTTTTTTTTGTTGAAGACCACAAGAAAAAGTACACATTGGGGAAAAGGGCATCTCGGACTCAATCGTGTCATCTCACACCCGGCTCATTGGAAGTGAAGGAAGAGGCTTCCTGCGAGAGCAACCGATGCTGCACGGAAAATTTAATATCAAAGGCAGAAAACGGGGACATTAATCTGCTTGCGAGCATTCGGCCAGGGCTCATTATTCACGAGTCTCCCAGGATACCCCTGAGGTCTCATTCCGCTGTAAGGCAGCGGCAGTAATGTATGGCAGCCCAGGCCGCTCTCTACCACCAAAAGGGTCATGTAATGTCATAAACGTTGGGAAATAGGCCTCATTACTGGACGGGCCTACTGTACATATTCCTGGATATTTTCTGCACCCTCTGTTTTTGGACAGAAACAAAAAGACATGACACCTCCTGGCGCTCGTGTCTCACATGATTAATTGCATATCACAAGGGAAGTGTGAGACAATAGAAATTCTATAATGAAAGCGTCAGGAAGAATTCACAGATGCATCATGCACGCACCCACGTACACCCACACCTGTTTTCCCTACACAGTAAGCACTGGCAAAGATCTCCAATTTTATTCCAAAAGTAATTTACATGTAAAATGATAATGGTTAATTGTATAGTAATAATATATTCAAAATTCCCAACGGTTGGCTTAAGAATTCAACTCAATTATTATGATCAACCCGAATTTAAACTTCTGACAATAGCTTAATAGTTTAAATGTGAATGAGAGACCATGAATGTATACATTTTTAATCAAAATAAACTCCTTTGGTTTTCTTCCTGTCCAAAAAAAACCACTGCCACAACTTTTTTTTATTTCACGATATCGGAGTTGCCAGCTACGTCGAGGGAATTCCCCATGTACATTTTATGCAAGCGCCAACGCATCCGTCGGTATGTCACACCGAGGAGAGGCAAGGGCCGCACAAGGCACGCATATCCATCATTACAGCCCGAACGCACTTTCTGCAGGGATGCTACGGTGGGGTCATGGTTTAGCACGCTGGAATCACAATGCATCGGGTCGCCCATTCGATTCGATCTCCTGGCACGGCCGTTGAACGACGGGGCAAGTTTCTTGAACCCCCCCCACCCCCTCCAACTGATTCGGTCTTGGATGCGCTGTCTGCGGATGTCTGGGACGCTCTTCCATCCGACGGTCGGAAGCCACTGGAGTTATACGCTTTTAGCTCTAGATTGAAAATAGTTGATTTAGAACTGCGTTTTGTGTTTAGTTTGTTGTCCTTCTCCCCCGCATCTCCGATTAGCATGGTTGGCTATGAACGGTGCAAAAGAAGTTCAACGTTCATGTCAACACAGCGGTGTAAATGGGTGCACCGCAGTTAGTTGATTGGTAGCTCGTGTGTGGTGGCGTAAAACGTGGGTATTCCCAGCTCTTCCAAGTAAATGTGACTAGTGTGGAAGAGTAGACCAAAACACCATGTAGAGGGGATCTATGGAGCTCCCTATAGTGAAGCCCCTTCCACTAGCAGTGGGGTGAGCAAGACATTGCAGGACTGCACCGACACCTTTATATTTCCCTGTAAAATTTTAAATTTTACTAAACTCAAAAGTTTCGATTTAAAGCTTTCGTGACTTGCAGGGATTCATCTTCTTGGTTCTTTCGGTAAAGTCACGTAGAAGGGACGTAATAAAACAATAAAAATAAAACATAATAAAACAATTCTCACGACGTTTCGGCCACAACGCAAGCAGCCGTCCTCAGGTGAAGAAACAGGTCTGTCGGGAAGACAGCGTCTTCAGACCTGTTTCTTCACCTGAGGACGGCTGCTTGCGTTGTGGCCGAAACGTCGTGAGAATTGTTTTATTATGTTTTATTTTTATTGTTTCATTACTTCCCTTCTACGTGACTTTAACGAAAGAACCAAGAAGATAAACTCAAAAGGTCACCCATCGGTGCACGCAGGTATTAGCAAATGCGAAGGTCACTACTTCATAAAGAGCAAAAGTGCCAGTGGTCAAGGCTAGATGTCTCTGAGCAAACGTGCTCGCCCCTGGCAATCCCTGCCCCTGCCCTCCTCAATGCGTTCACATTAATTATCAATAGCTTCCTGAAAGGGCAATAACATTTGGGTAGTAGGACGGCCATAGGCAATGCGAGTCCCGTCAATAAATACCCCTCAACACTCAGTGTGCCTTACTCAGCGTCATTGTCAAACAGTGCTCTAACACGCGTATGGAAATTCCAAGCCAACCGGTGAACTTTTTTCGCACCGTACGTAGCCAACGGTGCTAATCGGAGGTGCGGGGGAACGGCAACAAACTAAACACAAAAGGCAGTTCCAGCTATAGTGGGCTCGGCATGCAACCACACTGAGAATAACAGGCAGTGTTAATATTGCTGCATAAATAGAACAACCATTACCTCATATCAAACTTGGCATACACCTTAGACAATGCACTATTTGTTTTTATTACAAACACACATTTAGCATAATCTTTCAAAGAAACCATACACACACTGAACAAGCATTACCGTAATTGATTCACCCTCGGATTGCTAAAATGAGTAAATGATTAAACCAAGACCCTATTATCCCTACACTATAATATTTTACACCACAGCAGTCAATAATTAATGCGGTGATCACAAATAAGATCTATGAACACGCTCAAGGTACGTCGATGCATTACCCTGGTCATAGCGTGCAATGTAAATCCTGGTAAAACATCGATTTCAGACACATAAAAGTGACGCACATATTCCGATGCACCTTTAACTCTTCTAATGCCGTTTCTGCGCGAGCTTTTAAAATCCACACATGCAACGTTGTAAACACATATTTATAGATTTTTTAAAACGCCCATCCATTTTAGAGGCATTTTGTCCCCACAATCCACACAACTGAGCTCCCCCGTTTCTCGATTTAAACCAATTGTATTAAGACGAACACGGGACAGAAAAAATTCTACATTTTCAAAAATCCACCGGGTGAATTTTTTCGAATATGCTTTCAGCGTGACACTGGCATGGAAGTGCCATCTGCTGCGAGCAGATGCATGTGTAACACACACACATCTGTGCTCACGGCAGCGCCGTGTGATGCGTAGGAACGTAACAAATAACCCACTGACCTTCATGCGGATAGGGGACTGCCATCCAGCCATGGTTGGCCCACGCCACATTTATTTCTCGTCCCCAATCACCAGGCGTGCATTTTGTCGCTGCGTCTTCTTTCGTGTCGCGTTCCTCCGACGTCCGAGCGCGAGAGAGCACTGCTGCGCGCTTCGCGCACACGACGCAAAGTGACCGCCTCGCTTCGTTTTACTTCCCACGTATTTGCGCTGGGCGGTCGAGCAAGCAAACTCGAAATGTGGCAAACGGGGTTGTTGTTGTTGGGGTTTTTTTTTGCTGCCGCGGGAGGTGGATGGAATAGAGAGAGAGAAAAAAATCAAAACAAATCAAATTACAGCGGTCTTCTCATTGCTACTCGCTGGTGGCCTGGCATTGAGCCCTGTTTGGTCGCTCATCATTCCCGTTCACAGATCTTCAATAGTGCTTCAATTTAAATCCTCCCGGTTGCTGCAAAAAAAACTCACAGGAGGAGCACCGATTGATTTTAAATCCAGCAGTGCATCGTCGTAAACACACTGCTCGGGCAAGCGGTAGCTTGTGTTTGCTCGCTAGATTTATTTCGTTCCCTTAATCCGAATGATTTTTTTTGTTCTGAAATCCTAACGTCAATGGATGGTGCCCGGGTTTTAAGTCTTGCTGCCGCGTCCCCCTTTGGTCAGCCCGCGCGTTCACTCTGGGGTAGCTGGAACAAAAATTCCCTGCTCTCTTGCTATTCAGCACCCAGTCGACATGCATCACATGACCACACTGATTACAAAGCTACCCCGGGTGAGAGGCTGGGAGAGGAGGGGGGCATCAGAGGGAGAGGGGGAGGGAGGAAGGGAGGAAGGGCGGGGGGAGAGAGATGGAGATGGAAACAGAGCAATAGAGAGAGGGAGAGGATGAGTGAGAGAAATTGGCAACAATGGAAGGTGGGAGAGAGAGCGGCACAATGCAACAGGGGTAATGAGGTGGAGGCAAAGGAGGAAGTGAATAAAGACCGTGATTTTAATAATGGCATATCAGCAGAGACCAAAGCATTACATTTAAAATGTGATTATTGTATTATAAATGTATAAGCGATTTTGGTTACAAATTCAATGCGGTGTGGAAATTCAGGGTAGCCTGATTTAACTGGCTCTCGGCATAATCTCAGCCGTGCGCTCTCCTAAATACAATTCATTCAATCCACACGGAGCGGATCGTGTTAATGCAGAAAATGTAAGTCACTGCAATGATTTTCAGATGTAACTTTTTTTTTTAATGTTCATCTTTATTGCATCTCCCAACGCAAGGCGATAATACCGCGTCGCAACACATCGTATGCGTGTCGTGTTTCATTTACGGTCACACGTGAATTAGATGGAAACATGTGGAGGCACTGCACTTCGATTCAACGTGTAAATGACATCGACATCGTTATTGTTGCTGTGTATTTCAAATTATTTGCTCTTTTTTATCTTTTTAAAAAAATAATTGTTAAACCAAAACACACAACGATTATTATTCATTACAGCTAAATAGCATGGTCTTACTAATAAAATGCAGCACTTCTTACACGTACTGTGACCGTAAACAATATCATACTGCAGATAACAATGCAGTTCAGGGTCCAGAGGAATTTAGCCAGCAACCCAGACATCCTTGGTTTCAATCTAAATAAAATATATCAGTTCATTATTGTTATAGCATGTATTAGACAAGTTATAGAAAACTAGTTGATGTTCTATGGTTATACTGATCTCCATGCTGACTCTCTGAGTTTCGGCATTAATGTTTTACCCCTAAGAATTCAAATAGTGCCTCAGCCGAATTCTGTGTGCCTCAGACAAAACACTGAACCCTAAGATGTCTCAAGGTGCCTTATCTCCGTTGAACCCTGGGCAACAGCAGTGAACACGATGAATCTGCAAGGTGCCTTCGCCTGACTCTACGGACCTATCGAAATAGAGTTGAACACTTTTTATGCTTTCTTATGTTATCTGTGTTGACATTGAGGTTATTTAGATATTAAGTGGCCTCTGTGGAGGCTTGGTGGCCAGTGAATGAGCAGTGCAGGGACCATGATGGGACCATGGGCACCATACTCTGTGAATCGGCGGTGCAAGGGGAAGGGGGCATTGTGGGATCATGTGATAAATGGTCTGTGAATCGGCGGTGTGGGTTTTGTTGGATCATCGTGATGAAATGGACATCAAGAATCATTCCCGTGCCTTCGTATGGCATTCCCTACGCTATTGCGTTATTTGCTGTGTTTGTACAGTACAAACTACACGTGCAATGTGGATTGATTGCATATGCTCGCATACTTAGATATCTTTTTAGTCTAAATATGAAAGATTACTACGAATGCGGACTTTCTGATGACAGACGTAACTTATGCATATTCACTGCATATGGATAAGTCCGTAAAAAATTAATTACCTTTACTGAATGTGCTCATAATGATGAAGATAATATGATGAGATGAGAGCCTGCTGCTGTCAGATAGAGACAATATTTTTTTGCAATGTAGTTAATGACATACTTTTTTTCTTTAGGAATTTGAGCGATGACACTGGCTTACGTAGGCGTCGTCTTTAGAATGTTGACACGGGGTCTTTAACACTTAACTTTCTATTACAGCGTATTGGTGTGTAATATTATGAAGCATTCCTGGATGGCTATCGAAAGTCCAGCTACTATATCCATGGCATTGGCTTGATTTGGCTTATCTGGAAGCAGAATCAGAAAGTGTATTTATCCTGGAGAAATCCCATGAGCCATGAAGCTCTTTTACAGTTGGGGCGGGTCAAAAAATTAGAACAACAAACAATGCAAAGAAAACGATCGGAGTGAAAAGTATAGGAAAGGTAAGCAAATCACTACAAATAAATAAACAAAACAAACGACACTAAACGTTTTAAATTTTACCAGGTAAAGCCCACTGAGCCATTAGTTAGTTTTCATAAGCGGCATGGCCACAAATGATAGCTCAACGAAGTGGCTTACCACGTGGATATTTATAGCAGCCAAATACTCCAAGCGCGCACAAACATCTCCATCCATTTAGTGTCCGCTTGTTAAGAATGAATAAAATAAAAAGCTAAAGTATTCATTATTTCCTTAAATAGCTTTTTCGTTTACATTTTCGCCCTGTATCATTTTCCCTGCGAACTTTGCAACGAGGCTAATAGAACGACACCGCCAGATTGAGAGCGCCCCACGAGGGCGATCACAACGTGCGGACACAAACCGAGGACGAAGAAAGTCGCAGAGAATCTTTGACAAACTTTTGACTTTTAAACAACTTTTATTGCCGCCAGCAGCAACAGCACTGGAGGCGATTCCGATACGAAATACACAAAGTCACCAGCAAACAAATAAACAAACGCTATAAAGCCACGCGCTGTAGCGCTAAATGCACCGCGCACAACACGAAAGACAAGTCACGTGGTGGTGGTGGTCATCGCGCACGCCACGGTGACGAGAGAGCGCTTCAGAAGGTGAACACGAGGGTGCCGTCCACGCTGGTACAGAGAGGGGCTTGTCCGGCTCCCCAGCATTCGAAGAAGCACACAGCCCCTCGTCAGCTAAGCATTAGGATGAAGAAGGTGCTTGCTGTATGTGCAACTTCTTTCGCACCGTATGCAGCCAACCGTGCTAATCGGAGGTGCAGGGGAATAACAACAAACTAAGCACAAAAAGCAGCTCTCAATAAATAAGCATTCAATCTCGATTATTTAAAAGTGCACGGCTCCACAGTGGCTTCCTAACATCGGAAGGACGAGCTGCCTCTGGAGTCCTGCACCTGTGCACATAAGTTAAGATAAAGGAAACACACAGCCAAAAGTTATTCAATTCAATAGGTGGGGTCTGGGTGCCAGCACTCATGATACAAGCACAGTGCTGTTATAAGCAGCACATCCTTACATTGCACTGGTGGGAGAAGGCAAAGGTCAACTTCTGACCGAGGTCATACGATGGCAAGATGTTAACTACCTCGCCTGGTATACAGGAGGTCGTGGGTTTGATCCCGAGCCTGACGCCTGCTGTTGTATATTTGGAGTCTGCATCTTCTCCCCTTGGCCGTGTAGATTTTTCTCCGGGTCCTCCGGTGTTTCCTTCCACATTTAGAAATGTGCCTTTAGAGTATTTGGCTGCTATAAATTTACATATGATAAGCCACTTCGTTGAGTTATAATTTGTGGCCAGGTCGCTTCTGAAGAGGAGCTATATAGGTCCGTGGGCCTTACATGGTAAAATAAAAAAAAGTTTCGTTTAAATTTAGACAGGAATTTATACCCTGCTAATCACACTCAGTGGTGGCGCCACCTGGCAGACGATGCAGTACTGCACCATATGAAAAGTGACCAGGCCGTGGAGGGTTACACCATATACATAGACTCAACATACATTGCCATGGAGAATTGTGTACGAAGCAATTAAAAGTAGAAATCCGTTCAGTGCATCTGCATATAAAATTATATTGTAGTCTATAAGCTATCCAGAACAATAGTTTAAAGCAAAATGTTGATTACACAAGTGAACTCGAATCAAATGCTGCTTGGGAAATATTGGTTAGTGGAGCTGAGTGAATTAAAAAAATCACTTTTTTTTTTGGAGACATAAAACGGGCTTCTGCTTATATTAGCTTGAAGCAAAGTTTCAGGTCACTTGATTTGATTAATGACCACAGTTTTGCAAAACAATCCCAGCTGTACGATGGATTTTTATTCACATTTAAAAAGCTACGAGCTAGAATCCTGATCTGGTGTTTGATAAAAAAAAAAAGGTACAGATTTGAAGTTCAAGGGGAAATACAATTTTAAAAAAGGGGGTGTTCAGCTTATGGGGCTTTGAAAAAAAAATATTATGAACTCGGTTTTCTACAGCACAATTCGCACGAGGCCTCAATGTGCTTTTACACGAAGCTTACATTAGGAAGAGGAGAGACTGTTAAACAAGGGATTTTTAAGACGCAATTGAAAAGGTGTACCACACTCAGATGCCCAAACGTACCATGGAAGGGCTTTCCACAATCACGGAGGCTGGTTCCAAAAAGGTATTTCTTTCATGCCTGGTCTTTGGAATCATAATGAGTAGACCAGAATCAACGGGTCTAAGTTTTCACAAATATAAGAAGACTTTGGGGGAAGGCACAGTCTACGTCCTCTGTGAAATTAATTGTTCACGCCATAGGAATGTGGAGTTTCCACTCCTGGTGTAGGGTTGTAAAAAAATGATGACCCCCCACCCGATACGATTTCTGAGTGATACAAAAAAATACACTTTTAGTTTTCAAAATATATTTACTGTAGTTTGTTCATGAAAACTTTAAGGTATTTTGAGCATTATGAAAAAGTACTCTAGGCAATATTTTACGAATCCTGAATCTTAAATGAAAAGTTGGAGATGTTCTCGCAATCGGGTCCACAAACGTGCAGCCGTGTTGAAGCACTGCTTGAGGGATTTTATCACACGCCCGCCAGTGAACAATCTTAAGGCGGCTTTCCAGCTGTAAATATATCCTCGATTTTGAGTAGAATAAATGGAATTATTAATAAAAATGTTGCAGTGACCCAATTTTCTTCAGTTCTGACTTTTTCAATCAGCTTTTTTCCAGACTGAGATAGGCACCGCTTACCATGCACTCCAATTCCCCTACCTAATTATCGAAAAATAAAGCTATTACCATAGTTATTACGTGGAGCACAGCAATGCCCAGTTTGCCAATGGTATGATTTACCCCAATGTCCTCTGCTACTGCCAG